TCATTCCCATCCTCTAAAAGCTCAGTGTAATTCTGGCAGCAGAACATCACAGGAAGGAGGTAATTTCCTAATTAAACTTCTTAGACTACCTTATCATAGCTACTCAATGTCTTCTGCATGGAAAACTGGCTCCAGTGTCTGCTTGGAAAAGGATGAGTGAAACACAGCCATTAAGCGGGATTTTTTTTTCAGCTAACAAGTACGCTTGTGAAAACATGGGTATTTCAGCACAAGAATGGTGAAGGGAATACCAGACTGGACTGCTATTTCCACCAACAAACATTTTGGCATTCCTCCTGAGGACAAACCCTTTTATTTTCAGCAAGTAAACACAGTTAATTCAATCAAGCCAAGTAAGTCTAAACAAATCCATTTTAAAAAACTAAGGCAAGATTAGGAAACGCTCATTTTATTTCCTTTTTCTTTTTTTTTTAATCAACAAATGCTATTTTACAGCTGTAAAAAATGTGACTTTTGCCTGCCTTTTGTGTTAGGTCAGCCAAACTTGAAAACCAAGAAATTTCTCTGTAACCGAGGGTAAACCCTCACTTTAATATGCACTGTTCCCAAAGGAGGAGAAAATTCAATTAATAAAATGGTAGCATAACCTTTTCATTATTATTTCAGGAGCACAGAGTTAATTGGACAAGTTTAGCATCCTGTGAATGAACATGTCCCTACTTCTCTACAATAAATGGGCTATAACTACTTCTATTTCTCTGAAACCAGGAGATAGCTCTCAGAAGCATTACATAAAATAAGTCTTTTATTCTTCTGGGGACTTTTATAGGCCCCATCATTACCATATCTGAGCAGCCCACAGTACCTCATGCACAGGGAAATGTCCTTATTTCGTCTTGCACATAACTGCACCAAGGCCCCACATGGCTATGGTGAAGTTCCATGAGTACTTATGCCTCAGTCTCAAGCACAGTTTAGCATCTGTCTCTCACTTACTCATATACCAGCAGGCTCCTTGGACCAAACATCCTTACCCTCACCTAAGCCAAGCTGTGAGGTCCAGCACATCTTCCCAAAGACCAGAACAAAGGCCAAGCGGTCACAACCATATGCGAAACCTTGTCCTGATCCACCTGACAGGTCGCAACTCCGTATCTCCCCCTTTCCATAAACAGCAAGCTTTAAACCCCAGGCTGTAACCATTCAGGACACTTGGGCTCACTTCTTTGGGAGCGTTTGTATTTTCTAGAAAATGATTAAGGACACATGGTGCCAGAGAGAAACACCATAAGCTAGGCTGTGCCATGGTTAACTCATCACCTAACAGAGAGGACGTATGTCAAGTGTGCTCCAACACTGCGTGTGTTTTAGAAGTCCAAACTTGCTCTTCAAAACTCCAGCTCAGTAGTGTGCATCTCCTTCTCTGGACTCATCATTGATTCCTGTAATTTCTTCCCTGCATCTGAACACACACCAACCAGCTGTCTTTAGTAAAGCAGGTGTTTCTGAAGGCAAAGGATGTCACAACACACGGTCCAAGGTTTAAGTCTCACGCTAGAAGGACTTCCTTAAAAATTAGGAACAAGTTTCCTCCCTCCACGTCCCTTAAAAGAGATCAGAAATAGATGCAAAACATGACAATAATACCGCATAGAAAGGTAAGGATTATTTTCAGATCCAGTACACTTCTGCTTATCTTCTCTGGGATCATGCTGGCTCCTCCATTAATTGCAATGATGCAGCAAAACTCATGTGGAGTTACACACTGTTGGGCTGGTTCAGCTGAGCTGGTAATGCTTACACTTATTGTGCTTTCCCTCATGATCTCCAAATCCTTTCCAACTGCTCCTTTTCAGGAAGCAGCACCATCCAGTTTCTGGATGCACAGCTAGCTTTCAGCTGCAATAAACTGCATCCAGTTACAGTAACTACAGGACTTCTCTCTTTTTCTCATTATACCTACTTCCTATACTTACCATTCTTCATATAAAGCACAACTGCTAGCAATAGGGACTTTATACATTTTAGAACAACAAAGCTAGTGCATTGAGGCTCCCTAAGTACAAGCATCAGCCTCCAGGGACAAAAACAAATGCTCGGAAAGGAGGGGAACAGAATTCAATGAAGAAAATGTCCCAGCCTCCAGGATTTCCTGCAACTGTTCTGGGTCCCCTCTATTCATTACATTTAGCTTTCTACAGCATACTTAACTTCCAACTAGGATGGAAGTGGGACTCAAGTGTTCCCCCCTGCCTAGGAAGATTTCATTCAGTTTTCATTTTTACCCTCTTTCCACATGTAAAATCCATAAGTATAATAAGAAGCTTGAAGTCAAGTACTTGGACACTTCAGATGGCATCCCTTTTAGAGGTGAGACAGGTGTTGACAAGCATCCTTCCAGACTGAACAAAACCTTACACCTCAGTCCTGAGGCCAATCCTGGCAGGAAAGGTTGGAAATGCAAAGCTAAGTTTTTAAACCTAGCCTAGCTTACATTCTAGTTCTGCACATTTAAGTTAGGCATGAAACTCTCTTTGACCCCAAAAGTCAAGCCTGTTTTCAGCCCAGGGAGTTTTACAAGTACTTCATATTTTGGCTAAATTACTAACAGTGTGGGAGCAGGGATGTAGCTTAATTTGAAAGTAAACATTGAAACTGATGTGTCTGCCCTCCAAAGTATGACCAGGGTCCCCCTAAGTAAAGCTGCTTTCAAGCATTACACAACATATATAGATATAAACATGCTGAGAAAAAAATCAGAAGTAGGACAAAAATAACCTTATGCTATTTGAGAGCTGTAAAGTATGGCAAATATACTACCTACCTATGTAAAGCAACCATCTCACACAAGTGAGATAATCTTCCGGTGTTGAACAGCACTGTGCTCGCTCCATCTGTAAGAAATAACAGATGGAGGAACTCTTCGGGCTTTACGTAACAGTAATTAAACAAATCCTCACAATGGCCACATGATTTCATGCACAAGCCAGGGCAGCCTACAAAAAGGGTAAAGAGCTTTCTGCCGAGTTGGAAAATTCCAGGCTGTGTAAGCCCAGAGAGCTCAGCAAGAGCAGTCAGCCTGATGCCTTGAATCAGCTTGCCCCATCCTCCAGGATAACCGCTTTGCCCCTGGGTCCAAGAGCAGAAAATCCAGAAACAAAGAAGCTGCGACAGGCACCTTCATCATCTGCAGGAAGTTCTTGGACTACTTTGTCTGTAAGATGAGAGACAGTTATCCACACATTGCTATGCTAAAGTCAGTCTGAATAAAGAAAATACAGGAAAGTTCATAGTATTTGGTATGTAGGAGAATTTGGTGTCCACACAGACAGGCCCTGGTGCAAGCAGATAACCTCTCTCACATAATCTGCTTCAGTCACAAGCACCATCGGCTCTCTTGTGGGCTGGCACTTGAAGTTGGAGGCAGGCATGTGAAATGCAAGAATTACCCAGTACTACAGGCAGAAAAAGAAACCTCACCACCAAGTACACCTACCCAGCCGCGCATGTGCATATATACGTATGTGAGTTGCTGCTACTCATCTGAAGGGCAAGAAATAGTAGAATAAGCAAGGCACTTAAACTCCACCTTGACTGGAGAAGGAAAGAATCCATTACAGACAGAAAAAGCAGAAAGGAACATTTATTTTATATCCTCACACAGGTTCTCCTTCCTGCTCAAAAGTAAGCATCATCATTAGCACCAGCAGATCCCTTTTACCTCTCTGAGGTGCTGGACACAGGGACAATGGAATGGGGTACCCCAGGAGTTCACCTCTGAGAAATCCTCAGAGCCATGCTGCACATAGAGCTGCCATCTCCATACCCCTCACCTGGGGTCCTGCATAGCTCTGTCCCCTCCCCACCTACTACTCCATCTCTATAGAATACCTCTTGGGCTGTAAACACAAACACACAGATGACACACAGGCCTTTGTCTCCTGTACATGAAATATATATATAGATATCTCCCATTGCCTCTAACACAGGGTCAAAATCACCACCTGAAAGTAAATTCAGCTCATTAAAAGTGAACCTAGACCAGAACCAGGTGGGGGAAGGAATCCATCCAAATCCACTAATCATGTAATATCCCATCTGCTGTTGTTGAAAACGCCTGCCCCCAAACTAATGAAGTGTTTCACAGCTTTGGGGTTCTTTTGCTCTTCCAAACAGGATTTGTTAAGAAAGAAAAAGAAAATTGGCAGAATGAAACATGCACTGATAGAGCTCCCAGCAAAATGTGTGACTGGGTGATTAAAAACACAAAAGCAGGTGTTCTGCTGCCACCATATGGTCATGACTACACCTAAGGCAGAGTTTTAAAATACAAAATATTTGTGCTTCTTCAGAATACATCAATTCAGTAAGCCTGTCATTTTTATGTATTTCCTTAAGTCACCTCCATCTGGGGGTACTTGTGCCAAATCTGTCTGATGACCAAGGTCCCAGCGTGTTATAAATCGTACAAAAAATAAGATTGCATTTTTTATTAACCCTGAATCTCTTGTTGTTGTTGTGCACGACAATTCAGCATAGCAATTCAGTCTTTCACATCTCATCAGTATTCGTTTTTCATCTGCTGCTTTTGTATTTCAGGAGGTGCCTGTCCCCCCACCCCCAACAGCCCTGTCAAAATATTCCAATGACTCATTACCTATTCCCAAAATACAGGCATTTATGAAACTGTGATATTCAGCTCAAAACTCAAAAAACAAATCACGAAGGACTGCTGTAAAAAATTCAATAGCAATGTAGCCATCTCATGCAGGGGGGTGGTGTACATCCAACTTTATTTCTCCTTTTGTGGAATGAGAACAAGTTTGTGAGACACCTGATTTCTTAATTGTTATTAACATTATTATTAAAAAAAAGAAAAAAGCTCTGTAAATCATAGAATCACAGACCGGTTTGGGTTGGACCTTACAGATCATTGAGCTCCAATTCCCTGCCATGGGCAGGAACACCTTCCACTAGACCAAATGAATGAAAAAAAGTTGCCAATGTTTTACATTTTGGTGACAAATACTTCCCAGCAGTTAGTTCGCTTGGGAGTCACTTTCAGTCTTTATTAATGAAGAATGACACTGCCTGGGATGTAGCCAAATCTTTGTGCAGGGATGTGAAAAACACCAGCGCTGAGGCTTAGGCTGTAATTTCAATTTCAAAACAGTTAAGAGAACAAGTGTTCGGATGATTCAGCTGCATACCATAAAGCAGGTTATAATTAAAATGTTTGTGTATCACAAGAATTTCACAACCTCATGGTTTAATACCACTTAGTAGATTAAAGGTATCGCCTCAGGCCTTTAGGGTGCTGTTGCATTATTCCTTGTCTGATACCAACGAAGTGCAATATGGATTGGTACATGGACCATACTGTTTATGGTGGAAACTGGCCGACTCCCATTACAATATCAGCCTCACACCGTGCTTCCCACTTTGTCCCTCTAGGTAATTCACAAACCATAGGTACAGTCATATATCATCTTTTCTCCATCTCCCTTAGAGGAAGAGATGTTTGAGACAAGAACACTCAAAAAGCTTTAGGATCAGTAAGATAACCAAGTTGTCTGTTTTGGGATGGATTGTGGAGTCCATGCTGAACTTCTCATCCAACACAGAAGGCTGCATTTAACGTTAGCATTTGGGGTGACTTTTTTCAGCTGTTACAGATATTACTTGCCCAAAGTTCAAGAAAAAGATGGCCACAATAGCAGCCTGTGTTCTAGAAAGCCATTTTTGATAACACAAATTACTATAATTTATTTTACACTAAAATACCTCCACTGATGTACGTCAGTGCTTTATTGTGATGGTTTTGACCTCAGTGAAGAACTCATAGGAATCCTTTGCTCCCTCCCTTCCTATGCCTGAGGCTTTCATCCCACCAAATGGCAAGTTCAGATCTCTAATAAGCCAGCAATTGGTCCACACTAGTCCAGACTGTAGTCTTCGTGCCACCCGATGAACGCGTCCCACATTGCTGGACCACACAGTGGCTGCCAAGCCATATTTCACGCTGTTGGCCCTTTTGATCACTTCTTCTTCTGTATCAAATGCTACCACACATGTCACGGGACCAAAGATCTCTTCTTGCATGCAGCAAGATTCATCCTGCACTTCAGCAATAACTGTGGGCAACATGAAATAGCCTTTCTTGTTGCCAGCTGGGAGGTCTAAGGAATCCACTCCCTCTCCACAGAGCACTCTGGCTCCTTCAGCCTGGGCTCTCTTCACATAGCTTCTCACCTGTGAAAGCAGCAGGAAAACATCATTGCTAAAGGACACCGAATACTAAGGGTTCAGCTCTCCAGTTTGGACAGAACAGCAGGAGCCTCTGAGTATCTCTAGATGGATCACGTTGCCTTTACTTTCCTCTGAACAACAGAGGGTCATTCCGTAGCTTTTGTTGTTATGTGTCTGGAAAAGTAAGGCTGGGTATTTCTTGCTGTAAAACAATTGTTCTCCCTCCCCAAACAGTAACCTAGCAGGAAACATTGCTGGCCCTTCTATCTAAGTATTTTCAAAAGGGTAGGACCTCTGGTGAAAACATAAGTGATCCCAGAGCCTCCCTCCCTTCTTACAGGAGCTTGGGCAGTTTGCTATGTATTCCATATCACAGTTCATTCATCTGCTCCAAGGGATCAGTAATCTTTTCCTACCTCATAGGCAGACTTGTTAAATGTTTACATGCCACTAGGATGATGAAGTCACAAATGCTATAGAAAATCTCACCAATAAATAATTAAAGCTGCTTCCATGGCTGCTGCTATTGTATACTACCTTGAACACATATCACATGCTGTTGATCTGCTTCTTCTGTTCTGAAATCATTGCCTGGGTTCTCTCACTATAGAAACACCACAGAGATACCACAGGGCATCTTTTTTGCCTTTTAACCACCTTGGTAGGTTAGACTCAGAAGTCCCCTGTGGTGCCACAGACCGAGGACCTTGGGAAGTGGGTGTTTCTACCACTCTGCTTCAGAACAGGCCTGGAGAACCTGCTGGGGCATCAGGAAGCATGACAAAGGTCTAGCTTTCTGTCTCATTCTGCGGTTTTCAGTCTGCTTCTTGCTTATGCTGATGGTGTCAGATAGCTTTGGGATATGAGCCTCTGCTCTCCTGAACAGTGTCTGACACCATAAAAATTGATTTCATATAAGCCACTAAAACAGACTATGTCTAACTGTGCACCATCTTCAGCTGCCCTCCACACATACATGAGTCCAAATTACTGAAAGCTGTCCTTGGAAACAGTGTATTGTACTGCCCAGAATTTGTCAGTGATATAAAATCGACATTTACCTTGGTAACTAACTTACTAGGCACATAAGTGATCATAGCAAATGCGATATTAAAATCTATGAAAATGTTGCTAAGCGCTAAGATTGGTTAGTATAAATTCCAGATTCAGAATTAACCATTTTGAATTATTTCATTAAAACGGGAATATTTTCTTGTCATTTTAAATTACTTTCCCCATAGAATTGATTTTTTCCAAAGTAATCACATGATCCCAGGCCACAGGCAACAGCAATGACTTTGAATCATCATCCCTCATAGCTAACCTTGGAGAGAACATGGTCCATCCCATATACAGCTGAAATCACCTTTTGTAACCCTCTAAAAAATGACATAAGATCACAAGCTGAATGTAACATCATCACCTTTTCTAGGTGTTCTTTACTTATTAGTGCTCCCACACTGACTGTAGGATCTGCAGGGTTCCCAGTCTTCCACTTCTTCGCCTCTGCCACAAACCTCTTCAAAAATTCACTGTATATACCTCTCTGAACAAAGATCCTGGAAGTGCAGAGACAGATCTCACCCTACCAAAAAGAAATAAACAAACAAGAAAACCAACAATATTAGCTCATATTATGTTGTACTATCGATGAGTACCAGAAGTCACATCCCACAATGAGATTTATTTCCCTGCATCCTCAGGAGTGTAAACTACATTCACCAACACTGCAAAGTAGTTTTTTTCACCTCAACAGTTTAGGATTCAATTCAAAGGTTTGTGCACACACACACACACACACACACACTTAAAGACAGCCACACACTTAAAGATACACACACACCACCTGCTGCAGAGAAGGTTTATATGCTACAGAGGTGGGAGGCACCTGGTTGGCAAAGCTGGATTTCAGGGTTGTGGGGATGCATTGGCTTAAGTCAGCATCATCGAAGATGATGGCAGGGTTTTTGCCTCCCAGTTCCAGTGAAAGCCTTTTGCAGTGTGGAGCACTTTTCTCCGTGATCCTCTGGGCAGTCAGCGTACTCCCCGTGAAAGAGATCAGAGGCACATCAGGGTGGCAGACAAGGGCTTCTCCTGCCTTGGCGCCTGTTCCAAACACCACATTCACCACCCCGTGAGGTACCCCTGGTGGGAAGAGAGGCACCAATTCCTCTGATCAGTCAAGCTTGCCTGATATCCATCATCAGAGATCCAGGTTTAAGTCACTGACAGAAGAAGCAATTGTTCTCCTAGTTTTGCTTAATGGCGCATCAAATACAGTCACAACACAGCCATTGAGAGCTGATTCTCACTTTCTTATGCTCTCATGATTCCTCTGCTGTCACCACAGACTTAGGACACTCTTAAGTGGAGCATAGGAGGGGGAAAGGAAGAACATGAAGATTTTTTCATGAGAAGATAGAGGAAAAAACTGGGCGATAACTGGGGTGGGGACATGGAATTGTATGAGGACAGGGAGAGCTTTTTGCTCTTCAGTGCAACACTCAGCTATAGCAAACAGTCTTTCCCAAAGTCTTTGAGCACTTTCTGATTTCTGCAACCAAATAATGGTGCACAGACAAGCATTTCAACTCCATTCCCCCTCCCCAGCATGCTACGGGACTTACCTGCTTTCTCCAAGAGCTTACACATCATCCAAGCTGTGACAGACGTCATCTCGCTTGGCTTGGCAACTACAGTATTTCCACATGCAATGGCAGGAGCTATTTTCCAGGTCAACAAATATAGTGGCAAATTCCAAGGACTAATTAAACCAGCTACAAAGAAAAACCATAAAAGACAGGAGTTTAGTCTCCTGGGATACAAAACTCGTTTCTCTGACCTTAACCAATTCAGATTTATGAAACGCATTTAGCCATGGCTTTTATCTCCAGACAACTGTACAACAAATTCGCAGCTAGAAATATTTCCCATAGGCAGATAACTTTAAAATATTTGTGCAAAGTCCATCAGCCAAACTCTCTGAGTAGGTTTTACTGCTTCAGGGGAGAATCTTACATTCACGGGAAGTTTTTCAGTGTTTTCTAGGAACATTAATGCAATGTTAACCATCAGCTGCTCTGCAGTAATATTCTGTGTTAGCAAACAGCAAGTTAAGCAGCAGTAATGTGTTAGCTCAGATCACTTGCTTTCTGTTGCTCTAGGGAGCCCCCCTTTTACCCCCTATCCCCCAGTTTTAACATTAAATAGGGCGTGCATAACATGTAATGCATATTTTCCTGATAAATTTTAACCTAACTTCAGAGTTCCAAAGGTTTATCAGTGTACAAACTGTTTCCACAAATTGCTGAACAACCAGAATGTTTTCAGTAATTGCCTCTGAGAATACTTTCACCTTACATATTTATAGGAAACAGTGAAAAAAACATCTGTAATTGCTAGGTACAACTGTTTGCAAACACCACAGGATTTCGTGCTATTTGATGGAGCAGATCCAGTGAGCAACATTCCCTTATGAGAGTAATTCTATCAGTACTTATGTCCTCCACTGATCAAGAAAACTTACAAATGGGTCCTCTCCAGGTTAGCCAATTTTATATTTTAAATAATTCAAGTGTGAATGCGGAACATTCATATACATGAGATATTAGGAAGAAGATCTTTACTGTGAGGGTGGTGCAGCACTGGAACGGGTTGCGCAGAGAAGCTGTGGATCTCCTGACTCTGGGAGTGTTGGAAGGCCAGGTTGGCCAGGGCTTTGCGCAGCCTGGTCTAGTGGAAGGTGTCCCTGCGCATGGCAGGGGGGTTAGAACTAAATGATATTTACTGTCCCTTCCAACCCAAACTATTCTGTAGTTTAGATAAAACACCTGATCATGGAATCATTACCGTTCCATTACTGGCAAGCTCAGCACAGTCACTGTATTTCTGAAGCATTAGCGGCATCTAGTGGCCGAGTTCAGCAATTCCCCAGGTAAAAGTGGTTCATCCACGTATGCACTCCAGTGACAGGCTGAAACGTCACGTTGTAAATTACTACTGCTTCCCGAGGTGAGGAGGATCAAGCTCTCCCTGCAGCACCTTCTGAACTGCTGACTGCTTCTGAATGCCTCACTGATCCACAGTAGGAATACCTACTTACTCCCTGCTGCCCCATGTACAAAACATAAGAGTGATTTTGAGAGCTACCAGATTAAACCAGGTGCTGTTTGAGGCACCTAAGCATTCTTGCTAACGTGAAGTAAAAAAAACTGGTTTTGCACAAAGTTGCTCATGCTTAGCAGACTAGTCGTGCTTAGCACACAGTCCAGAGACAATAAATGCTCTCTCTCTTTCTTGACCCACTGCTAAGGCAGACACTCTGCCAAGCTTTTCAGCATTTCAGCAGCACCATACCAACTCCCACAGGGGCCCTCGAGGTGTAATGCACACAGCCCATGGTTGCCATCTCGGTGCACTCTGTCACATGGTGAAGGATGGAAGAAGCAAAGAATCTGAAGTTGTACACTGCCCGAGGGATGTCCACTGTTCTAGCAAATGTAATAGTTTTTCCTGAAACAATAAAAAAAGCACACTGCTGTGTTATCATGGGCATAAACAGGGCTTTAAACTCTGCCCTGAAAACCCATTTGCATGGTTTTTAGGAAATGTCTTTTGTCCTGTGATGAAGTAACCCCAGCACAATGCAAGTACAGTCAATGACAACAGCTTCCCTGATGTACTGCATTCCAAACAATCAAAAACTGAAGTCAAAGTCAGTAATCCTGAAAAGCAAGAATGGCCCAGGAATCCAAAATCAGTGACTTCTGATAAGTTCACGCACTTCAACTCCAGTTTGCTCTGACACTTCATACCATACTAGAAATTTGGACCATACCCTCCATTTCAATATCGAACAAGATACATTATATTTGAGATCAACAGTTCAGATTTTTACCCTGGTCCTTTGACTCTGCTTTTGCAAAAGCTTCCAGGTCATGTTCAATTAGGTCTGCCAATTTGTTCAGGATCTGAGATCTTTCCAATGGACTTTTTGAGGACCAATTTGGGAATGCATCTTGGGCAGCTTTGACAGCAGCTTCCACCTAAAGAAGCAAAAGATGGATGGTGAATGCTAATGAAAGGCCTTAGAAAGAATCAAACAATCAGCAGATGAATTCATAATTGGGAGGCTCATAATCTAGATCACATTGTTGGAAAGACTGCATCTCTTCTGAGTTATGACTATTGACAGCTTCCCCATTTTCACTTTCTTGGGATACTATCCCATAACTCAAGCAGCGCTACTGAAATAGAGCATTTAGAAAAGAAACTGCCACTCTAACTCTTGCTTTTCTCTAAATTCCAACAACTAGCGGGCAACCCTCCAGGCCTGGAGGAAATGCCAGACTAGTCAGTTATCACCAGGCAGGCGCCACCGACCAAACGCCCATGCAGAATCTTGTTTCTCATGGGGGAAAGTGCAAGGATCTCCCAAAGCGAATGCAGCCTCAATCTAAATGTCCACCATCCTTGCAACACAAGACTTCAGCCACACTAGGCAATGATGAAAGTTGGGGAAGGAACTAACTGTATGGCCTGCTAGCCTTTGACTTCCAATTTCTTTGGCATGGCTGGTTCAAGCAAAGACTAAGAATATACTTACAGAACAGCACTCATAGAAAATATTTCCATCTCACCTGATCACAGCTGGAAACCCATTAACAACCTCACCGAAACAAAAAATAAATAAAAGAAATGGTTCCTTTCTAAACTCTTGGGGTTTGGTCAGTTCCCTCACCAGATACCTAATGAAGTCTACAGATATTATTAATATTATTATATGCCTCTATATAGATGCGTATCAGTCTCCTAGGTATTTTGGCTGAGATGTCCATAACTGTTGCATGGTTGTTCAGCCTGACCTCACTGAATAGTGGCAGATTACCAGCACTTTTCCGAAGCAGACTAGGCTTCAAAGGATTAAAATTCACCAAAAAGCTTTCTCTCTCATCAGCCATTTCCTCTGGGCTCTTAAGTGGAAGTTACCTGCATCTATTGATTTATATGCAGCTCCTTTTTTATGTTTCCCAGTCTCTCAGATAACTAAAGATGGTTCCAGCATCCTTCCATATTTTAATTAACTACTCTATTTCCCAGCTTTTGCTTCACATATATCACTTCTTATTGCTTCTAATGTCTAATATAAGCACCAAGGTGGGCTTTTAGCCAGAGCTGTTTTAGCTGCTTACCCATCATTTTTGCTCCTAATTTTCTTCAGATTTGGAAAATTTCCCAAGTCAATAAGTAGGAGGATGCTGATGTAATATCAATCAGAACCTTCTGACCTCTCCTAATTTTGCCATGTTGCTGGTTCCTGTGTAGTCACTAAAGGCTCTTTTCCACCAATTCCATAAAACTGAGCTCCAAATTCACTTATTCACATTGTGATTGGTGTTATCAAAAAACCACCACAAAAATAACTAACAGACACTCCAGTGGTGTTCTACTCAGAAGGGCACAAAAGTGGGTGAAAACCCCTTCCTCCCCATGCATATGAGAACTTACGTTCTCTCTAAAAATAAGGAACAGAGTCTGAGGGTCAGAAAGACATCGGTATGGAGGCCAAGGTGGAAAAAAAACAACTTGCACAAGGTCACCCAGATCACTGGCCAAGCTCAGAACTGTACTCTTTCAACTGTAGTTGGACAACCTACTGCTCAGGTGCCGACCAGCGGTGGGCTGTCAACCACTGAACGGTTGGAGCAGGGCCAAAGCTGGCCTGGGAAAGGGGAACTGCACCTTCTTGAATGAGTCAGGTGTGGATGGCACAGTACATGCTGAAAAGGTTCACCCTCTGTGAAACCACACACCACCTTTACTAATTAAGTTGTTCTTCCACCTTCCCGTCATTAGGTGCCATTGTGGTGCTGCTTCTCATCTGCCTTGTCCTCTCTGGCCTTTTGTGCTTCAAGAGGGAGCTGATAAGAAGTTAAGGCTATCTGCATTGTTAAGCCAGTGGGTTTAGGAGAAGGAAGATGATGTTGCATTTTCACAGACAGCAGGAAATTAGCAATGGAAGGAATGAAGTGGCAGTAGACTGATCTTAAAAAGAAAAAAGCAAGAGGAAAAACGGAGGGAGATCGGTACAGAAGAAAGAAAAGAGCATACAAAGGTTAATCAGTTACTTAGTTTGCCTGGCAAAAAGCAGCAGAGACAGACGAGCCACAAAGAAAACACATGTAAGAATTCAACTATGAACTTGTGTGTCTGAAACACTTCCTTCTGCTTTCCTCTTCTGCACAAAACAGAGAAAGAACACACAACCCAGGCCTGTCGTAAAAGGTTGATACTGAAATATCCCAACCTGCCCTCAGGACATGATGTTTGTTTTCCCAGGAGATGATGCACATGAGCAAGGTTCTTTGAAGAGACTTCTTTTTTTTTTAAGAAGATACTTGCCAGGACTAATTAGGCCTCACAGCCTGTCATTGGAGACACAGGGCACCTGTTCAGCTTGCTTCCAGTACTGCTATTTGGAAACTAACACATCTAGCTGCAGGGAAAATTAACCCCTGGGAAAAGAAAAAAAAACAACCCCAAACATTTAGTGGATTTGGCAGAAACTGGCTGAAATGGCCAGTGCAGCTGAACTGGTGGTAAGTTCTAGGACCAGCAACAGATTTGCTGTCTGCCCCTGTTCTGCCTTCTAACCTTCCACCAAAATGAACCAAGAAAAAAGTCCAACTGGACATTAAACCTTGCTAGAAACCAGCATCCCAAGTTCTCTGTTGAACCTGGGTTCAGATGATTAATTTGCTGTCTCTAGATGCCTTCTATGTAGTACATGACTGCATTTTCCCCTGAAGCATATTCCATCAGTCACCAGTGGACACCAGCTCTGCAGAGCCCAACCTTCCTGTATAGTTGTCTAAAGGCAGGAGTAAAGCACTTGGCAGGTTTACAGGTGTTTAAACCACGTTCCTGCTGCTACACATCATCACTAATTCAGAAAGCTGAAAAAGCCATTGCTCTTTAGTATATTTGAAATGTATCTCCAGGACGTTCAGCAGCCTACTTCTGCTAGGCTGTTCTGGCATTCTCACATCTCCCTAGTTTTAATGATTTTGCAAATGAATGAACAGGAAGATTTGCACCTGCAGATCAAAGAGAAGTCTCTTCAAGCATAATTAGGGTTGGAATGAACTTGCACCAATGTATTTTAGCAAATCCAGCCTGTTACTCTTTAACCCTTAGTCATCATCATCTAGCAAATATTTACCCAGTTGAAATTACAGTGCAAAGTTTTCTGCTGAGAGAAGCAAAGACAAAAGACATCAACAGGACTGAAATCCAAGTGAAGGGAACAGCTACACACAGTAGCAGTTTGTTTAAAAAAAAAAATGTTTTGAAAATACTTGTCAAAATCTTCCAGTCCCTTTGCCTTATCCAAGCTTTTCTACTTGTTTCTCTCTTCAGGGAATCTGAAACACTATGTTGGACACACCTGTAGGTCCCTTATAAGGTAGCACCAATGAAAGTGCAGGTCCCCAGATGAATGTCACATTGCCCATCCACACCTGAAGACATATAAGGTACCAGGAAACACTCATCCCACTGAAGAGCACACGGCTAGGAACTGATGTAGAGGACAGGCTGCATTACAAGGAAACATACACTCATCACAGCCACGTCATCACCTCACTTAATATCCAGCTGCTAATACCAAAACCAGAGAGATCTGGAAGCTGTTTACCATCTTCAGGGAAGAGTCAGCAAGCCAAAAACCCTTTTAAACGACCACTGCAAATCATCAAGACACTAAGGAAGAACACAGTTGTATACGATGCTTCCAAGATATTTTACAAAAGAGATCAATAGACCCATTTCTCTCACACAGATTGTTTATACTTACAGCTTTTCTAAGTGTTATTGTTCACTTTTGTACAAGCCGTCTCCTATATGAGCTGAAGGAGCTTCACTGAAGCTGTGTTGACTTACACCAGCCTGGGATCCAGCCTGTAACTTTCTAACAGCAAAATGTAAGAAAAAAACCCAGTATTTGCTGCTGCAGCAGCGACAGATTACACAGCGCTACAATATAAGCATGTAAGTCTCCAGCATTTTTTTGTTCTCTCACCTTCAGTGTCTCCCACTCAAAATATTAATGTTATGTGCATTAAACCTTTTCAGTTCTTTGCACATCTAGATAGTACTCACCTCTTCTTTGCCACTGTCTGGCACCCTGCAATAGACATCTCCAGTGGACGGATTAAAGGAGTCTATGTAGGAGGAACAAGGAACAAATCTGCCTCCTATGAAGTTTTCCAGCACCAAGAGATCCTTTGAGTGAGCCATCCTTAGCCGCTTGCTTGATCTGTGATTTTTTTCTGCAAGGCATCAGGCTGGATTAGTAGGTCTGTATGTATATTTGCACAGCAAGCCTGAACTCCTCCCCCTCTCTCTGTTTTCCCTGCACCGCTCGCTCATGAGGGGAAAAAACCCTGGCAATAACAGCAGAAAAGAGGAAAGGGAGGGGGGTGGAAATTACTGTTTCTGTGACACTCGGCTCTTTTCTAGGAGTTGAAGCAGGGAGGCAGGACCAGCTTAGTTGTTAGAAACAGCTCCTGTCTATACAAAATGAAGTACTAAAGAAGGGAAGAAAAACAGTAATTTGACAGAGAAATTTCTTCCTGCATCAGTTCTTCAAGCTACAGTCTGAAGCCCTTTTGTCTCAACTATACAAAATAATTCAACACACAAACATCAAGCCAAGGGCCTGCTTCTTATCACCAGCAGAGACAGAGATACCTAGACAATCACATCCGCGGCTCATGTTCACTGCTTGTTACCATCAACACTTTTCCTTGTAACCCCAAAAACAATGCTTCTGCCAAACCAAAACATTTTAAACATAAGAAGCACTCTTTTTGCCACCAGTATTCCCAAACATCAAACAATACAAGCAGCTGAATGGCCCTTCAATTCAAGAGTTGAGAAGCACAACCCTACCTGGTACACTCTGTTGTATACTGTCAAGAAACAGTTTTTTAAAAAGAAGCAAGACAACAGCTTCACTGCTTTTGTTTCCATACACATTCCAGTGGAAGCTACCTTACTATACAGAAGCCTGTTACATATAATTAAGTTTTTCTTTAACTTCGCAATAACCTGCCTGGTAAGAGCTGTATAAAAGATATTTTTCTCCAACAGAGCACGCTTAAGAGTATCAAACTGCTCCTAGATTGCATGCCAACTTCTTCCATTCCAGAGATACTCTACATCCATATTAGAGAGCAGTGTGTCGTCACCAGGAGATTGTGAATACCTCGATAGGCAATTTTTAAAGTTCTTGCATCCTATACCACTGCCAAGCCATCATATTCCTTGTGGATCCATGTGCAAATTATTTGGATTGAACAACAGTGATACATTTTTGTTGCACAACAGATCATTTATGCATCAGCCAACCGGTGCCTCTGGGCAGAGTTCAGATCAGTGCTGAAAGGTGGTGCAGCCATATTGAAATTGGATTAGGTAATACCTCCAGCTCTCCAAAGTTACAGACCAGGAAAGCATGAAGTAGATTTTCACTTGTCACGGAATACAGTCTCAAAACTCAATGTAGGAAGGGTATTAGAGGTTCATTCTGCATCACATTTCCTTATCCACAAACAGCAAGGAATTTACTGAAGTCTTAAAACTGAAGACACATTTCTTCTGCCTGTAGCAATTCTGCTGTCCCCTGACATTTAAGGCAAGCTAAACATTTTCAAGGTTTTAAGGAAAGTTCAAGTGGAACAGTTTCAACATAGGAGCTTAACAGTACAAAATCTCTGGAATCCAACAAGTGCACTGAACCTTCACAGCTGGCATGCTGAAACTGGTTAAGTATTTAAATACAATGTCTTCATTACAAAAAGACACAACAAATAGTGTTAATTCATAAGCTTCAGTTTTGGCAGCAACAGTTTTCAGGTATTTCAGATTCATAAGATTTTACAAAAGACATTTCCACATAAAACATTGCTGATACTTCTATAATGCGCATGTAGTCAACAGTACAATTGATCTATCTGCACTATCAAGTGCAGGTTATGTGCTGAATTGGGGCTAAAACATGTAAGTGCAAAAACAGTCACCTACCAAAAAAAGGCATGTGGGAAGAGTTGTTACAACTGAACGTGACTTTGAACTAAACAACCAGCATAGGCTTTTTGTGTTCTTCATTACAGAGGGCACAGCTTTACTTCAGTCAACCCCAGTGAATGATGCTCTGGAATGACCACTCCTTCCGACAACTACTATGGTCAAAGAAGACCTGCATATAGGCTCTGAAATACCTGAGCTCTTCTTACACTTCCTACAGAAAAAAAGTCTTCTGAGCTGTAGTAAAGTGTGTCTGTCCTGAGCTTATGCTGAAGGCAGCAGCAGGACTCTTTTCAGCTGGGAGTTTCACTTGCCCTATTACTGACAAGCGAGAGGGAGTTACAGGCTCAAGTAAGCACAACAATTTGGCTTTAGCATACATGCCAAGAATAAACTGCCAGCTTTTGCTCAAAAGAGCCCCAAGTCTGAATGAAGACGTGTATGTGCAGTAGCTGCAGAGTAAGATGAGAAAAACTGAAGTGGTTTCCACAGAAAGACAAGGCACATGCCACTTTCGCATTTTAACTCATCAGTTTCATAGAATCATAGAATAGTTAGGGTTAGAAAGGACCTTAAGATCTTCTAGTTCCAATCCCCCTGCCACAGGCAGGGACACCTCACACTAAACCATGTCACCCAAGGCTTCGTCCAACCTGGCCCTGAACACTGCCTGGGATGGAGCATTCACAACTTCCATGGGCAACCCATCCCAGTGCCTCACCACCCTCACAGTAAAGAACTTCTTCCTTATATCCACTCTAAACTTCCCTTGTTTAAGTTTTAACCCATTATCTCTTGTCCTATCACTATAGTCCCTAATGAAGAGTCCCTCCCCAGCATCCCTATAGGCCCCCTTCGGATACTGGAAGGCTGCTATGAGGTCTCCACGCAGCCTTCTCTTCTCCAGGCTGAACAGCCCCAACTTTTTCAGCCTGTCTTCATACAGGAGGTGCTCCGGTCCCCTGATCATCCTCGTGGCCCTCCTCTCGACTTGTTCCAACAGTTCCATGTCCTTTTGATGTTGAGGACACCAGAACTGCACACAATACTCCAAGTGAGGTCTCACGAGAGCAGAGCAAAGGGGCAGGATCACCTCCTTTGACCTGCTGGTCACATTCCTTTTGATGCAGCCCAGGATACAGTTGGCTTTCTGGGCTGTGAGTGCACACTGCAGCCGGCTCATGTTCATTTTCTCATCGATCAACACTCCCAAGTCCTTCTCTGCAGGGCTGCTCTGAATCTCTTCTCTGCCCAACCTGTAGCTGTGCCTGGGATTGCTCCGACCCAGGTGTAGGACCTTGCACTTGGCATGGTTGAACTTCATGAGGTTGGCATCAGCCCACCTCACAAGCCTGTCAAGGTCCCTCTGGATGGCATTCCTTCCCTCCAGCGTATCAACCGAACCACACAGCTTGGTGTCATCGGCAAACTTGCTGAGGGCGCACTCAATCCCACTGTCCATGTCAGCAACAAAGATGTTGAACAAAACATCTTTACTCTGAAACTTCTGTGTTATGGAAATTATGAATGATTTAACAGAATTTAGCAGTGTTTAAATAACAAAAAATGAAGGAGCCAAGAATTATGCTCAGACAAAGTTATTTTATTATTCCTACAGCTTAAAAAATAAAACTAGCCAATGTTGGCACGGGTTCCACTACACAGCAAAAGAAAATTTATGTTTTTTAAATAAATTCTGGGACAGGGAAAACAATCTCAAGATACTACTACCAATCAAAGTAAACAGCTCTTTTTTTCCCCTGAATATGCATTCAAATCAAACCTAAAAATATATTAGACCAATAAAGTTACTTTACTGAATTAATGAGCAGAAAAAAAAAAGGGCAAATCTAAGAAAATATGTAAACAATTTATGTCTGGAAGTAAGGAGTTTATTTCATGATGATTCAACACCTTCTTCTCTAATTCAACTCTCTAAGATCTTTTCCGTCAAGTTTTCTAAGGGCTAAATTCCACATGGAGAAACACATGAGATTCTTGAGATCAACAAGTGCAACATTAACAGTTCCTTGTCAGTTGGCATCTTGTTCTGCAGTGGGAGAGACTGATGAAGGGCTCCCCAGACGTCTCCCACAATCTGACTTTTGTCATCATCATCTTATCCCCAATTAATTGCACTTGTTCCTTCAACTGAAGTAACTGGATTCTTAAACAGAAGTTTGAGCATCTGACTGCATTTTGGTTGGACAGTGAAAGTTCTTGCACCACTGTCATTCTTTAATCTAAAAATACAAGCAGATGGAAAAAAAACCTATGGTGAAAAATGGAGTACCAAATGTAAAAGGATCGCAGCTTTTTTCAATATGATCTAGTGAGATGTGCAAACAATAATTCCTTTTCTTTTGAAATTCTCTTGAACAAGATATATAAAATAGTAATCCCCAAATAGCTGAGAGTTTAGTCCCCAATTCTGCAGACACAGGGCATCACAGACCTAAGACCCAATTCACTTCAAATTAAACTTACTGAAAAATGGGTACAAGATTAAAGCCCTAATTTTGTATTCTATTTAAGGCAAGGCAGATTATTAAGAGCATTAAAGCTCCAGAAAGGCCAGACCACAGCATACCTATGCACACAGGAACAAGACAGAAATTCTTTCCAATTTTTTGACATTAAATGATTCATCTTCTGTCCCAGTACCAGAACTAGGTTAATCTGACTAAACTGCTCTCCCTCAGGCCTAGAATTAGAAGTTATATTTTAAACTAAAAATCATAGGAAGATTTTGTTAATGTGATAGAGGACATTCGTATTTTTTGAGCCTAATAGGAGATAAAACATTCCTATTTAGCCCCACAGCCTTTGCTTCCTCTCACACAGGCATCAGTAAGACTCAAATGTACAACTGTCTTTACTGCTAACAGAAAAGATCTGGGACCCAAACTAGCTACAGTAAATTGACCAACGCTTCTTATTTACAAACTATTTCAGGTATATTTATATAGACAATCAGGTTTTGGAAAGACGATGTACGTTAAAAGAGTTAAGATTAAATAAACCTTAGCTTTAAGCTCCAGAGAGGAGAGAAAATGCACAACATTCAACAATTTAAACTGAGTCATTTTTGATCCAAAGAAATTAGCAGAACTGTGGCAAGTTTTCCTCACATCTTGCTGAAGCACTGTCTCTTTCAGCAGAATAAAATCGCTTTTTAGACCAAAGGGTGTAAAACAGGTCTTAACCATAAAAACTGAATGTTGTATGAAAGTTAACACGGTTCTTTTATAGTACAGAAATTCTGCTACAAAAATGCCATACCTCTGTGACAACTCCTGCAGCAATAGTGGAACCACCGTAGCGTAACATAAACCTCCCAAGCTCTTTAAAATCTTTATACAACTCTAGGGCAACAGGTCTTTGCGTCTGTAG